AATCAAATCAGGCAGAAGAATATAATAATGTTAGATGCAAAGATCTGGGAATCATGATGAACTATTAGAGAATTCTTAAGTGTAGAGATTCTGTCTTTACTAGAAAGCTAGCTATTAGAAAATTGTGGATTTAAAAATAAAGTTTTGAAAGGGAAATTAAAAGTGGCTAAAATAGGTTTTTTTTTAAAGTTCTTGTCTAAAATGTTGGATTATCCACCCAGCTCTGCTCTGGGTGAAAAGTATGCTAGAGGACTGAAACATGTGGTGAGAAGGTTGAGAACAGATATTTGTAGGAATGAATGGTAGATAGAGTTGATTTAATCACCTTTACAAACAACCCTTGTAAAAACAAACAAAAACCTTCCCCCTTAAGAGAAGTCTGATCCTCACTAAATTGTAAAGAATGTTATGACGTATCATTGTAAACTGAGCAATAGTAAATGTTAATGGAAGGATAATACACATTGAGAACCTTAAGCATGGTGCATATACACATACATGAAACAGATTCAATCGATGAGAAAATAAAAGAAAAAAATACTTGCATCTCTTTATAGAGACTTTGACACATGTTCTGGCAGATCTATTAACCTTTTCCCCTGGCTAGCTGATGCTGCTGTTGAGAAAATTCAAAACACTGCCACAACTGTCAAACTGCGTGGAGCCAGGTCAACTGAAATAGTTTTCTATCTCCATTCTGTAATTCTGTAATACACAAAAACTATATGAACTGTTACACACTACTGAGATTACCAATATGCAGTCAGATGTGGAAGCTTGCTAATAAGATTTTGAAATCTTGCCTGGTTTCTCAGAGTTTCATTGTCAGAGTGTCACAAATCCATAGGAACCCCTTAAGATACTGCATCTGTTCTCTTAATACAGTGGTAATGACAATATAACCCTTACTGCTGTGCTTGCTTATACTATGTGTTTTAAAATGAGGAAAGTGCAATGACATCAAGGTACTTGTCTGTAGGAGACTGATCTATATTAATAGCTTAAAGAGTGACTCTGTTTTGATAAGTGACTCTGTACAAATGGCATTATCAGGTCCCATTTTTAATGATCTCAATGATTTCCATATGCACTCAATTTACAAATAAAATATTTCCCCCTATGTAACGGCCCTGCAAACTCAACTTGGGGCCTGGTAGTCAATCTGGGTCTTCCCTTTTAGCATATCACTAATAATGAAGGTTCTGCATGCCAAATTATGTCTTTGGTAACACATGTTCATCTCTGACCATCCGTGGGTTTGCATGACTGTCTGGAACTTAGTAAACAATTCTACTGATATCACGTGAAAAGGAATAGAAACCACTTCACTTTATACTGGTTGTGTTGGCTCTATAGGGTTACAGGACTAAAAAAACAGTAAAAACTAAAATCTGTATATTGTATATGAGTCCAACTAATATATCCAGGGTGAAATCCTGGCCCTATGAAGTCAATGGTCAAGATTTCACCCACAGGGAGTACGTCCATTGTGTAAGAGAATAACATTGTTACACCTACAGCCCCCAACTGTAGCGCATCATCAAGGATGTACAACCTATCCTGAAGAATGATCCCTCACTCTCACAGACCTCAGGAGACAGGCCAGTCCTCGCTTACAGACAGCCCCCCAACCTGAATCAAATACTCACCAGCAACTACACACCACACAACAAAAACACTAACCCAGGAAACTATCCTTGCAACAAACCCCATTGCCAACTCTGTCCGCTTATCTATTCCAGGGACACCATCATAGGACCTAACCACATCAGCCACACCACTGGGGGCTCGTTTACCTGCACATCTAACAATGTGATATATGCCATCATGTGCCAGCAATGCCCCTCTGCCACGTACATTGGCCAAACCAGACAGTATCTACACAAAAGAATAAATGGACACAAATCAGACATCAAGAATTATAACATTCAAAAACCAGCAGGAGAGCACTTCAATCTCCCTGGACACTCAATAACAGACTTAAAAGTGGCAATTCTTCAACAAAAAAAACTTCAAAAACAGATTCCAACAAGAAACTGCAGAACTGGAATTAACTTGCAAACTGGAAACCATCAAATTAGGCCTGAATAAAGACCTAATAAGCTTTCGTGGGTGAATAGCCACTTCGTCAGGCGCAGTGGGTATTCACCCACGAAAGCTTATGCTCCAGTACGTCTGTTAGTCTATAAGGTGCCACAGGACTCTTTGTTGCTTTTTACAGGTCCAGACTAACACGGCTACCTGATACCTGAGAGCCAAGTTTTCCCACATTTAGGTAACTACTCAGTGAAATGCTATTACCTGGCTATTATTCTTAATACCAGATCAAGACACCTATTGATACCATACTCAACACCAAGACACCCCTTTCTCTGTGCACAATAATTGCAGATACCTATGGTACCAACCTGGAAGTGGCTATTAGTTAAAAATAAAAACACCCTATGTGTCACATGCTGAATTGTATGACCAGGGTTTAAAGTGGTTTTGAGGAAGTGCTGTTCTTGTCAAGACCCAGTGATAGGATTTCAATAAATTGTTTATAAGAAAACAAAGTCTTGGACAGCTTAAGTGCATGTAGTTTCTTTCTGCAGCAATTACTGAAATACCTGAAGTATCAAATTTTTTGGCCAATTTTGTGATGTTGTTCAATCTAGCTTTCTGTGGTGGCATTAGCCCATCCGGAGAACGAGTCTGTTATTTTAATATCGTATTGTGACTAAAGCACAGGGATCCTAGATCCTATTGCTGGTGGTGCCTGACATGGATTTGATGCATGACCATGTTCAAGTCACTTTAAATTCTATTTCTCAGTCTACAGTGTCATCTCTAAAATTTGGTTAATACTTCCCACTCTCACAATGACTTATTTGTAGAATGCTTTGAGATTTTTGGCTAGAATGTGATACAAGAACAAAGTATTATTAATTATAATTTCTTGATGGTAGTTTGGAAAGGTGACCCTTTAGAAATGACAAAATTTGGAGCAAACTTAAGAAACCTTTCCCCCCTCTCTATTTGCCTTTAATCTCTCCTTGTTTTTATCCAAAAGATTCCGCAACAGATGCGGGTACAGTTTGTATTATTGATAGTGCCAGACAGAGCATTATTTGCTCTCTCATTGTTGTCTCCTGGGTGTTCTCACATGACAAGTCCCATCCTTTGCAGCCTTTGCATCATTTATTATGGGCATCTGGTCTCTTGGTTGTCTGTTGAGCTACTTTAGAGTGGGCAGGTATTTCTTATTATTTTATTTATTGCTCTTTAATATTTTTTCCTGATGTTAAAATTCTCCATTGATTGTAATTAGGTTTCTGAACCTTGGTGGGGACTTGGTGAGCTACCATCATAATCTTGCTCATTGAGCACTTTTTCCTAACATGTATTTAGTTCTAACCTTTACTTACTAGATTCCCGCCCCCCCCCACCCCACATTAAACAGTGGTCAAGAGGAAACCTTACATGTGTCTCAAACAATACAAAGGATTCAATGTGAATTGCTTCTGATACCTAGTCTGTATGTGTGGCATAAAAGTAATTTTATGGGGTAGGGGTAGGCTCAATTCTAAACCGTAATTGTATAGGGGCACTGAAGCATCGAAAAGTCAGGTTGGAACATAGTCACATGGCTAATACGTCCATACTACAGATCCCAAGAAAGGGATATGCTTTGATTAAATTTTTATTCTACATGCCAGCCACATATGCATATGTAAAGTATCTGAACAAATTTAATGTGTAGGTTATAGGTGGAATGAACAATGCATATATTCCTCTTCGAGGCCCTTATCCAAAGCCGACTGAAGTCAATGGAAAGATGTGTTTTCTTCAGTGGCCATTTGATAGAGGCTCAAATGCATAGTCAATATGGAGCTGCATGCATACATGTGATTTTGCTCATGTTTCAGCTGATACAGAAGTCCAAATGCAACATCCAGGACTCCAGAGCTTTACCCTGGTTTCTAAATGACTAAAGATGAAGTGATTCTGAACACTGTTTATGTATTTAGACAAAGGAGTTATTCATTGTAACAACTTTGCTTCGTCTGCTTATATATGTAGTGTCAAATGGGATATTAGAATTCATCATGCATTTGAAAATATATGAAGTATAACTTCCCTTAAGGGATTTCACCACCATTTAATGTAATTAAAGTAAATGACAGTGTAGTCCCTGAAGAAAAATGAGAGCATACAACAGAATTCCCACCAGAAGAGCATTCTGAAATGCATCTAAATGGATGGTTGCAAATTAAGTACAAATATTTTTAGGCATACTATGTCTGAAAGAAAAATTTAGAGAACATGAAAAAAATATGGGGACAAATCCCTTATTTGGGAAAACTGCCCTTGTTTCAGGTGGTCTGGGTTTTGTTTCCTTCTGTTGTTTTGTTTGACCCGGGACAAATAACTTTTATCCCTGTATCTCACTTCCCCATTCTGTGAAATGACCTCACTATGTTTTTGTATTGGGGAATTGACACCTTAAATAAACACTTGACTTTATAAATTCCCCTTCTCATTTGTTGGCCAAAAAAGTGATTAAATTAATGTGTAATATAATTACTATTTACATATTTTGCTTTAATTCAATCTGTGTTTAATAATGCCATGTACAGCAACAGGTAAAATCAAGTTTACAGGCACGTTTGTTACGGGTGGACGCTTGAATGAATAAGGTAATTCAAGCGCACACACTTCGGTTATTACTTCACAAGAAGGTTCCTTTGGGCTTCTGTGCTGTAGATTCATGACCACTAGTTATGGCATTGATAGGAATTTTATTTTCCCTGCCCCTCTTGTAGTTGGCGTTGTGATAAATATAGAACTTCAGCTCTGTGTTCTATAACAGTAAGAACTAAAAGCTACTGCTGCTCAAATATATATACAATGTAAAGTAAACACAATGTAAACAATATTGCCCTTGAATTGTGCTTTAATACCAACAGTTTATCACTTTAACATAAGTGCTTATGATTATCTTTGTTTGCTTTTTCTAGTGTAAAACTTTGTCTGGAATCTGTGACCACATCATCTCTCTCTCATCTGACTCTCTGGTGTCTCAGTCAGCACATCTTGAAGTAGTTCACCTTACTAGTGTTATGCCCAGTGAGGGCTTGGTAAGTAAGAATATAGCTAATTCCTTTTGAATATTAAACTCAAGCATCTATCCTTTAGAGTGTTTTCTTTTTTTTAACTTGCCAAGAAACCAAAGTGCATTTGTTTTATGCAGTTTCCAGCTTTTTGTACTAGTGCAAGCTTTAGCTGATTTCTATAAGTGGTTTAGCTACAGTCTTTATCTGTATTAAAATAAAATAAATCTACAGTTCTTAAAGCACCAGAGGTAACCAGAAAACATATTGGCAGCAAAAGTAGAGCATTGTAATCTGTAGTGAGCTGTAATATAGCTGTTGGACAACAGCAATATTATTGATTTTATTTTTATGTACAAAAAATGTTGGGCTCCAATATAGAAGTTAATCAGCTGCATAAAATAAATAATGTGAGAGATGGTACCACAAGTTTAAAGGAAAGTGATCATATTGTTTTTCTTATATTTAATTTAAAGGCTTTTATGGATTTTACTTCAAATTTCAGCAAGATTACTTTATTAAGGAAGACCAAAACCAACCAACCAACCAACCAAAAAACCCCAAAGATTTGTAGATGATATTTATAGAACAGACACTGGGACAGATTCACCCATATGTGCAGCTGCATTGCACCATTCCACAGTTACAAATCAGCTGTAAATCCAGTTTATCTGGTCAGTTAAGCCAGGTCTATAGCTATCTTGCATCCAGAGAAGCACAAAAGCAATCAGAGTATACTAGTGAATCTGGGCCCATGTCTCTTTTTACAGATTGTATTATATTTCTCAGTTATAATCCAGAATTCCACATTTCTTCCATTTCCGCTAATAATAAAATATTAGTCTCTCAACATCTTTGCATTTTGAAGCCTGATGCTGAGTAGTAATGATAACCTGCAGATTCTATAATGTGATTATTGTGCAGGATGTGGGGCCGGTGTGTATTCATTTATGAATAATATATGGATATATTGGGTTATGAGAATGTTTGCTGTATGGAGTTAATTCACTGTATGCATGGACTGGTTTAGTTAATAGTAGGGATCTTGGGAATCAAGCAGGAAGGTAAAACAATGAATCCAGATAAAACCCCTCCTGGTTAACAGATTAGGAGGTTAAGAAACAATACCTGAGCTATTAGCTGTGAAGATGCTACTTCCAGGCTCCAGCCAAAGTTACACAGCTGTTGTACCAAGGCTGAGAACACACAGTTCAAAAGGATGTTAAACAGTTAAAAACTCTGTCAAGAGCGGGAGGCAGTTGTCAGGGGCTGTTATCATGAGAAACAGGGGCTGACTCAGACACTGGTCCTCTGTGTGGGGAGGGGATTTGAAGGAGATGGAGATGCCTAAACTTCCTGGGGATTGATAAGCCTTGGGAAGATATACATTCATATAGACTGTTTAATTGTTTGCAAATCCTTTTGCTCTTATGATTTCTGTTCCTACTGCTAAGATTAAACAATACTTTTCTTTCAGAAAGCTTCCTGGTCACTGTATTAACTAGAGGTCAGTTTCCTAAGGGAAGACTTTAAGGTGCCAAGCCCAGTCAGTCCTGCTGAGCAGACACTGAGGCAATAGTCTGAGACCTAGTCTAACAATGGGAAAATCACAGGATTCCCCCCAAACGCACAGGACAGGTAAAGGCTAGAGGTCTAACACCTGAGGAGCATGCACTCAGAGAGACTGGAGAGGGGTCAAAAGTGCAGCTAGTCCAGTGACCATGACAATTATAATGCCAAAAAAAATTAATTGAAAAACTATATATAAAAGATACCTTATATTGCAATAATGAATGATTGGGAAGGAGATCATACTGGATATAGAAACATTGTCAGCAAGATGAGACCACTTAGCAGACCTCATACTGGCTGATTTAAGGATCAGACAGGCTTATCTAATTGCATCTCTTGTGCAAGAAGGCTGCTTATATACCACATGGGTCCAGCTATAGGAGTGAGCAGGAGAGACCCATACAGTCTCTAAAAAGTAACAGAGGGTCCTGTGGCACCTTTAAGACTAACAGAAGTATTGGGAGCATAAGCTTTAGTGGGTAAGAACCTCACTTCTTCAGATGCAAGTAATGGAAATCTCCA